AAGTGAAACAGGTTAGAGATCATCAATCGTTAATCTGGCTAGTGGCTAGGGGGAATCATACCTAAGTGAGTTCCCAACCTGTAATTAGATTAACTTTAACTGTAGTTTGCTAGAGTAGTTTTAGTTCTTTCATCTTAATCTGATTTGCTAAATAATAAACTGAAGCTGAGTAATAGTAACTCTAGAGACCCGTGGATTCGATATTTATCACTTGAGCCACTATACTGCAGTCCCTTTCATTGGTTACACTTGGCCTTTGTTAGGTGTTGTGTTTTAGAGCATCAGGCTCAACATCCACCACCCCCGCCGGGTCCTACTGTGGAGTACTACTACACTCATCGGGTCTCCGACATCCGCCCCGTCATCCTGTATCCGCCCATTCCAGCAAATAACATTGAGATCAAGTCATGCTGGATTCAACTGATCACATCCTCCATCCAGTTCCATGGCCTCAAGGATGAAGAGGTGAGGGTGCACCTTTCCCGGTTCTTGCAGCTTACCAATGGGTTCAAGCTGAATGGTGTACCAGATGACGCGATCCGTCTTCATCTCTTCCCCCATTCTCTGGCGGGGCATGCAATGAGGTGGTTAGAGACCCAGCCCCCACTGTCCATCACGAAATGGGACGATCTGGCTGACAAGTTTGTGCACATGTACTACCCGGCCTCGAAGACCATGGAGATTCAGTGGGAAATCACTCATTTCCGCTAGGATCCAGATGAGTCATTACGTGATGCCTGGGAGAGGTACTCGGGATTTTTCTGGAAGTGTCCCCAGCACAGTTTTAGTGATGCATTCACAGTGGGGAACTTCTACAGTTCTCTAACTCCAGAGAGCCATAGGGTGATCAAGTCTCTATTCCCAGGAGGGGATATTCTCACCAAGACTCCACCCGAGTTAAATCGGATGATCAGTACTTTGGCTGCTAGAGATCATTCACGGGGGCAGAGCACTAGAGGTAGGAGCTCCTGGGATCGAGGTGTGCATTCTATGGAAGCTAGATCCGAGTTAGAGCGGGAGGTGGCCTAGCTGGTCCAAACATTAAGGCAACCCAACAGTCTCATTCCGGGCAGAGGATTGGCTAGCCACTCGGTTACACAGTGTTTGTGGTGTGAGAGCTCCAATCACTTGGTGGAAGACTGCCAGGCTATGCGGAAGTCTTCTACACCCCAGGAGCAGTTGGACTTCATCGCCAATGCTCGGCGCCTTGATCCTTACAGTGGAACATATAATGAGGGGTGGCGCCAACATCCCAACTTCTCCTAGAACAACAACACCACCACCAAGCCTCCAGGCTTCCCAGAAAGAGCAGGTGGTTTTCAGCAAAGGCAGCCCTTCTAGGTAAACAAGGCCCATTTCCACAGCAGCAACCCTACCAGCCCAGACTGGGGAAACCATTTCAGCAACATCAGAGACATTTTTCCAAGCCGGCAGCAACTCCAGCACATGATGATTAGATGTCAGAACTGAAGAACATGGTGCAGACATTTGTGAACGCCAGCATGACGAATTTTGCCAGGCTGGACTAGTGCATCACCTCGCTGGAGGCAGGCCAGAGGAACCAGGGTGCATACTTCTAGAACTCCAGAACCAGATTGGAGGCATAGCCTGCCAGAACACCACCAGAGCACCAGAACTCTGCCTGCCACCACTGTTCCAAATCCCCGCGAGCCTCACCAGCAACTCGATGCCATCACTACTCGAAGTGGCAAGACAACATCTGCTATCCCTGCTCCGCCCAGGCAGGAGGAGCCAACACCTGCTTCAACACTTCCAGCTGACAAAGAAGAGGCGGGGATTGAGACAGAAGCACCTGCTCCCAAGCCACAACCAGTGGTAAAGGAGCATGTTCCCCAGCTTCCCTTCCCCACTCGACTGCACAAGGATAAGCTGGAGACTAAGTTTGGAAAATTCATGGCAATGTTGAAGTAGGTCAACATCAACTTGCCTTACATGGAGGCACTGTCGAAGATGCCCATTTGCATGATGACTTGGATTACTGTGATATGTTGAAGCAGGTACTGACGATGCCCTTGAGCGTTGTATTTTTCTAGGTGAGCAGGCATTGCAGGAGCTACACCTGGAGGAGCAGCTAGCCGCTATGGAGAGTGGCGAGTTTCTGGAGGGCGCCAAGCAGTTCAAGGCGATCTCATCCTCTCCTCGCATCACCACCTCTATGGAGGAGCCACCAGAACTGGAGCTAAAGCCCCTCCCTCCTCACTTGGAGTATGCATTTCTCCGGGAGGGGAACAAGCTTCCAGTCATTATTAGCTCGACCCTCACACCCGAGCAAAAGGCCAGACTGGTGGCCTTGTTGAAGCAGTACGAGTGAGCTCTGACATGGAAAATCACTGATATCCGGGGGATCAGTCCCTCCTTCTGTTCCCACCGGATACTGCTAGAGGATGAGATGCGGCTAGTGAGACAGCCCCAGCGGAGACTGACATCGAACCTGGAGGCTGGGGTTCGGGCGGAGATCGTGAAGCTGATGGACACGGGGATCATCTTCGCCATTTCTGACAGTGAGTGGATCAGTCCCATCCAGGTGGTGCCTAAGAAGGGCGCAAAATGACCGGGTACCGCGTCTGCATCGATTACCGCCGCCTCAACGACGCCACCCGGAAAGACCATTTCCCGCTGCCTTTCATTGATCAGATGCTAGAGAGGCTGGCGGGGCACGAGTTATACTATTTCCTGGATGGGATGTCCGAGTATTTTCAGATCCCCATTGCATCGGAATACCAGGCGAAGACCACCTTCACCTGCCCTTTCTACACATTCGCCTACCAGAGGATCCCATCCGCACTGTGCAATGCCCCAACCACATTTTTGCGCTACATGCTGGCCATCTTCGACTAACTGGTCGGAGAAATCATGGAGGTGTTTATGGACAATTTTTCTGTTTATGATGACTCTTTCTCTCACTATCTCCACAACCTGGAAATCATCATAAAACGGTGTGAGGAGACGAACCTGGTGCTGAGTTGGGAGAAGTGCCACTTCATGGTTCGTGAAGGCATAGTTCTGGGGCATAGGATCTCCAAGATGGGGATAGAGGTAGACAAAGCCAAGATAGAGACAATCAGCAAGCTGCCTCCTCCCACATCTGTAAAAGGGATCCGCAGTTTATTGGGCCATGCAGGGTTCTATAGGAGGTTCATTAAAGACTTCTCCAAGATCGTCTTGCCCCTGACAAAGCTCCTTGAGAAGGATGCCCTCTTCCTGTTCACTGACGCGTGGACAACGACATTCACGACCCTGAAGGAGAAGCTCACTCATGCTCCTATCATGGCCTCTCCTAACTGGTCTTACCGTTCGAGCTGATGTGCGACGCTAGTGACTTTGTTGTTGGAGCTGTTTTGGGGTAGAGGCGAGATCAGCACTTCCGTCTTATCTACTACGCCTCGAAGACCCTTAACGATGCATAGGAGAACTACACCACCACGGAGAAGGAGCTGCTAGCGGTGGTGTTTGCCTTTGATAAGTTTCGTCCTTATCTGGTCTTGTCACATGTGAGAGTATACACGGATCACTCCGCAATTCGATACCTGATGAGCAAGGCCGATGCCAAGCCTCGGCCATACAATGGATCTTATTACCGCAGTAGTTTGACATCGAGATCCGGGACAAGAAGGGAGCCGAAAATGTTGCTGCTGATCATCTCTCCCGGTTGGACGCACCTTCTTGCGGACAACCTCGTGGAGGAGATCAACGACTCCTTCCCAGATAAGAGACTGATGATGATGTGCTTGGTGGATAGTGTCACCCATTGGTACTCCGATGTTGCAAATTATCTGGTGGGCCAATAGCTGCCCAAGGGGATGATGACTCACGCCAAGAGAAAGTTCTTCTATGACCTAAAGCACTACTTCTGGGATGACCCGCATCTCTTCAGGATCGGAGCCAACATGGTCATCTATCGTGGTGTCATGTAAAATGATATGGAGGGCATTGTGTCTCATTGCCATGAGGGACCTACCGGCGGGCACCATGGTGGTAACCGAACGGCGCGAAAGGTGCTACAGTTGGGCTTCTACTGGCCCTCATTGTATAAGGAGCGCACTAAGCGTCTTCACGATGCTCGATTGAAGGGTCCGAAGGAGTTTCAGGTTGGCGATAGAGTTCTTCTCTATAAATCTCGCTTGAAACTCTTTACCGGAAAACTCCGCTCCCGATGGTCTAGACCGTTCACGGTCACACAGGTGTTCCCCATATGGCACGATCGAGATTGCCAACCCGCAGACTGAGCCGTTTAAAGTGAATGGCCATCGTCTCAAGCTCTATCTGGGAGACGAGGTCGAACGTGCGGAGTTGGTAATTGAACTCGCGGACCCTTAATTCCGCCATGGGCGTCCAGCTAAAAGACGGTAAAGAAGCGCTTGTGGGGAGACAACCCCACCACAGTTTGCATTTCTTTTCCTTTTTACTTTGTTTTGTGGTGTGATCGAGTCATTTCCACGTCTGTGATGAAGTTAGGTCGTTTGGTGTGCCTCGTTTTGGTGTTTTTGTGCAAGGGAGTTCAAAAAAATGGAGGAGAGCAAATTTTGGTCGAGAAGGGAGAAATACCCAGCCAGGAGCCCGAATACCCGACCGAGTATTTTGGCCTCTCGGTCGGGACCCCTTATGTCCAGGGGCGGCGAAGCTTAAATCCCCGACCAGGAGCCAAAATACCCGACCGGGTATTTCGGCCTCGCGGCCGGCGCCCCCTTTGTTCTTGATTCACGACAAAGGTCGAATACCCGACCGGGTATTTTCCAATAAAAGAGAATCACCGGCCGTTGATTTCTCTCTCCTCTCATTTTCCCCAAAACCTCCCCTTTCTTCCTTCTCTTTTCCTCCTCTGCTCTCTCTCGTCAGAGACAGCACCGCCGCTGCCGCCGCGCCACGGTTGTATTTCCGGTGACTTTCCGGCGGGGGTTTTCGGCGAGCCCTCCGGGGCCGTTTTGGCTGTAGTTTCGCGTCCCTCACCCTCTACTCGCGTCCATCTACGGTCCTACTTGTGTTTCCAGGTGTGTTTCTTGCTCATTTTGTTTTTCTATGGAAAATCGGACTGCAGATGTTAGGCCCGAGAGCTGTGATTCGTTTGGCATGTTTGAACTAGAATAGGGTGAGGGATGCAGTGGATTTGAGTTGCTCATGAAAGATGGATGCCTAATTGTTGAAATGCCTTGCTTTTACCATGATTCTTTCTTGATTTGCGGTTGGTTTGTTTGCAAATCCACTGCTTTGTGCTTGAGTGCTTACCCTAGGTGGTCCTTAAGTGTGGGGGAGCTGTCGAACCCATGCTTGCGGTCCTAACGAGAATTTTCTTGGCTCCACCTTTGGTTTGCTGATTTTGCAGGATCATGTGTCTAGACCATCCATTTATGTAGGGGCTGCGCCTTCACCCCGAGTATGCAGACCAGTACCGTCGGGGTCCTTAACTGGGTGTTCCACCGACACCACCACCTGGTGTGGGGCGTCTTCCAGTAGCTCCACTGCATGGAGGAGATCGCTGCCGCCATCAGCCACCCAAACTGGAGGGCGCTCCTGAGCATAGAGGACTCCACATACACGGAGCTGGTGTGGGAGTTCTACTCCACCTTCCAGTACCGCCCCAAGGCGGCCTGAGACTCCCCCACCGGTGTGACTTTCTGGCTCGGCGGCCACATGCGGGAGCTGAGCATCGACGGGTTGGCCCATGCACTGGGAATCCACTACCACCCGTACTCTCACCACGAGAAGGAGGTCGCTCATTCTAAAGACTGGCGCCAAGACGTGTTTTACTAGATGATAACGATATAAATGCACATGTTTGCGCCCCTAGTTCTTATCCGTTTGAGGGGCATAGTCGTGTGTTGCGGCCTATTTTACGCCGGGTTGTGCTATTTTATCATGTTTCAGGTCCCAGGTGTCAAAGGGAAGGCTAAGCGCGAGTTTCGGGGCATTCGGAAGTCATTTCAGTGAGCTGGAGCCAAAACACGAGCAGCCTAAGGCATTACACGGCCGTGTACTGCTGGCCGTGCTTTTTATGCCGAGAGCAAATTTAGTTTGGCCAATTCAGCTGCAAACACGGGCACCTAAGCACGGCCGTGTTCCACCAAAGCACGACCGTGTCCAACGCGAAGCACGGCCGTGTTTAACCCACTTGCTGGCCGTGTAATTAAGCCCTGGCCGAGGCACGGGCGGAGTCAGGCAAAGCACGGCCGTGCCCTCGACCGTGCTTTGGCCACTGATGCTTTTAAGCAGAGTTTCAGCCACAATTCAAGGGGATTCGAGTTTTTGAGAGAGAGATCAGTTCCTAGAGAGAGAAAGTGACGAGCAAGAGTTCCCAAGTGCCCTAGATTGATCTTCAACACCATTGGAGGCCAACTTGAGCTTGGAGAAGTGCCGATCAACGTCCAGAAGCATGAATCCATCCTTCGCAGTATGAATTCCGTGTCTGATTCTGCTTTTGCTTTCTTCTCTATGGAGTAGTTCTCCCATTCATCTGGGTATGGAGAACCCTAGATTTGTATGTTAGGCTTTGATTGTATGAACCCAAGTACTGATTCTGTGATTGATTATATTCGATTGAGGTTTTAATGATTGAATGACTTGAATCCTGATCAAATTCCTGTTGTTTCTGCTTTAACCTAGAATGAGAATATCTGACTAGGTTAATAGAGTATCCTTGATTGAAGGTAGAGAGTTGGTGACTTTAGTCGAGGAACCAACTCACTATTCTGTACCGGATTTACTCCGGTAGTGGAGGTTTTGTTCTTAGGGCCTCAATCTGTCGACTCCGGTGGAGGTTAGTCGCCCGCTAGAGAGTCAGATTGAGAGGGTCTGAAGACCTTTAGTCGAGACTTCAGGCTGTTTAAGAACCTTCCGCAGTATAACTGTCATAGAAACTGAACTTGGTAATTACAATCCGGCTTAACTGCAGTCTAGGGGGAACCATATCCGGGTGACCTCTTTAACTTGAATACAACCAGTTTACTTGCTTTGTTAGTTTGTTAGTTTAGACTTGCATTCCAGTTTCATTGCTAGATAACAAGAATTCGCTGAGTAGTCATCAAATCTAGGACCCGGGTTGATAATTAAACCCAAACCCGCTATACTACGCTTTAGGAAGTGGTTTCACTTGGCCAATTCCTGGAGTGACAGTAGAGTCGAGTCAAGTTTTTGGCGCCGTTGCCGGGGACGGCTAGGTTGTTGAAGAAAAGTGATTTCTGTTAATCTAGTTTTTCTTTTTGCTTTGTTTGCTTTGTCCTACTTGTGCCTTCACGGGTTTGCTTGCTTGAGTGTGTGCAGGTAGTGCATGACCCGTAGCCAGTTGGGAGGTTTACTGTCGTTTAATCCAGAGATTGACCGCACCTGTCGCCAGCTCAGGAGACAACAGCGAGCTAGACTGGCTACGGAAGAGCGCATAGACGGCCACCTGAGTAGCGATTCTGAAGAAGAGCACGGGATGGACGGAGACTACAATCAGCACCAGGGGAATCCTCAGCAGGTTCCCCCGGTGAATCAGGTCCTGGGGAACAACCCCATACCCCAGGACCATGGAGTTCATCATCCCCCGCAGCCAGGCCCCACCTTGGAGTACTACTACACTCCGCGGATTGCTGACATCCGCCCGGTCATCCTCTACCCGCCGATCCCAGCAAACAACTTTGAGATCAAGCCATGCTGGATTCAGCTCATCACATCTTCTATCCAGTTCCATGGCTTGAAGAATGAGGAGGCCAGGGTGCATCTTTCCCGTTTTCTGCAGCTGACAAACGGGTTCAAGCTGAATGGTGTCCCGGATGATGCGATCCGCCTTCATCTCTTCCCCCATTCTCTGGCGGGGAATGCTAAGAGGTGGTTGGAGACCCAGCCCCCATTGTCCATCACCTCTTGGGACGATCTGGCTGACAAGTTCGTGCACCGGTACTATCCGGCATCGAAGACTACAGAGATTCAGCGGGAGATCACTCACTTCCGCCAAGAGCCAGATGAGTCCCTTCGTGATGCTTGGGAGCGGTACATGGGCTATTTCTGGCAGTGCCCCCATCATGGCTTCAGTGATGCATTCACAGTGGGGAACTTCTACAGTGCCCTTTCGCCAGATAGCCAGAGGGTGATTGAGTCTCTATGCCCAGGAGGGGATATTCTTACCAAGACTCCACCCGAGCTGAACCAGATGATCAGTACTTTGGCTGCCAGAGATCATTCTTGGGGACAGGGTAGCCGAGGCAGACAGTCCCGGGACCGTGGTGTGCACGCCATGGAGACCAGATCCGGGCTCGAGCAGCAGGTAGCTGAGCTAGTGCAGACATTGAAGCAGCCCAACAGTCTGATTCCGGGCAGAGGTTTGGCTACACCTCCAGTAGCTCAATGTCAGTGGTGTGAGAGCTCCAATCACCTAGTGGAGGACTGCCAGGCTATGAGGGAGTCTACCACACCCCAGGAGCAGTTGGCCTTCATCGCCAATGCGAGGCGCCTCGATCCATACAGCAGCACATATAATGAGGGGTGGCGCCAGCATCCCAACTTCGCCTGGAGCAGCAACACCACTAAACCACCTGGTTTCCCAGCACCAGCAGGTGGTTTTCAGTAGAGGCAGGCCTTCCAGGCTCGCCAGGGGCCAGACCCACAGCAGCCCTACCAGCCCAGGTAGGGGCAGCCATTCCAGCAGCCCCAGCGCCAGTTCGCCGAGCCAGCAGCAGCTCCGGCCCCAGATGACAGGATGACGAAGCTGGAAAACATTTTAGCTTCATTCATGACTAGCACCCAGGCTGCTATCACATCACTGGAGGCAGGTCAGCGGAACCAGGGTGCTATTTTGCAGGATCTGCAGACCCAGGTGGGCATCTTGGCGCGGTAAAACACTGCCAGGGCACCGGGGACTCTGCCTGCCACCACTGTTCCTAATCCTCGAGATCCTCACCAGCATCAGCAGCTGGATGCCATTTTTACCAGGAGCGGTAAGACCATATCTGCTGATCCTGTCCCGGCCAGACAGGAGGAACCACTGCCTGCTCCAGCACTTCCAGCCGACGATGCAGAAGTGCGGGTGGAGAAGGAAGCCCCTGCTCCCAAGCCACAACCAGTGGTTAAGGAGCATGTACCCCAGCTTCCCTTCCCCACTCGCCTACACAAGGACAAGCTGGAGACTGAGTTTGCCAAGTTCATGGCAATGTTGAAGCAGCTCAACATCAGCATACCGTTCATGGAGGCACTGTCGAAGATGCCCAAGTATGCCAAGTTCATGAAAGATATCTGCACCAACAAGAAGAAACTTGGGGATCTCTCAACAGTGATGCTGAGCGAGGAGTGTTCTGCTATCCTGCAGAACAAGCTGCCCGAGAAGCGCAAGGATCCAGGGAGTTTTACTATCCCTCTTACTATTGGCAGCATGCATGTAGGAAAGTCCTTGGCGGACCTAGGCGCTAGCATTAACGTCATGCCATATAAGTTGTATAAAATGCTAGACCTAGGTGAACTTAGCCCTACTAGGATGAGCATTCAGTTAGCTGATCGTTCTATCGTGCATCCTAAGGGTATCATTGAGGATCTGCTTGTTAAAGTAGGTACATTCACATATCCTGTTGATTTTGTTATTCTTGATGTGCATGAGGATGTGGATGTGCCTTTGATTCTAGGTAGGCCATTTCTTGCCACCGCCAAGGCACTAATTGATGTGCATGATGGTAAGCTGATCTTGCGTGCTGGGAATGAACAGACTACTTTTTCTGTGACTGAGTTTGATCACTGTGCTATGATTGCTGTCACGCCTGTGCATGCTATGTCTGATCAGGTACACGAGCCTATCGTGTACCCTTCTGCACCTCCTATTTTGCAGGACCCTCCTATCATTCCTTCGCCGCCACTCCATCCAGCCTCGCCTCCGAACAAAAAGCTCAAGGAGGAGTGGCGGCCGAAGCAGCAGGTTGCTAAGCCTGCACGGAAGAAGAGTGGAGACCACTATGAGCTGGTCCCACCTCCTGCACCACGACCACCCTGGCCGTCTGGGTACTCGCTCTCCTGCATCTTGCCAGATGGGCAGGTCGAGCTGACTGATGAGGGTGGTCGCATCCGTCGGGTGCATGGCCACAACCTGAAGCTGTACCTCAAGAGCGACGTGGATCCGCTCTTGGAGGCACCTGTTCCTGCACCGCCCTGAGTATCCACCATGGGCGTCCAGCTAAAAGATGGTAAAGAAGCGCTTGTGGGGAGGCAACCCCACCTCGGTTTGATTTTCTTTCTTGTGTTTTGCATCGGATTGTAACCCGGTTTGGGTTTGGTTTGTTTTCTTTTGGTTTGGATGATATTTTATTGGGCTGACCATTGAACCTAACATATTGCGTCTGAGCTCTTCTGTTTTCCTTTGGCTGTGCTTGCCCCGACTGGCCCGTTTCCAGTCTCCTGCTGTCCATGCATACCGGTAACATCGTTTCCCTTATCCTTCCCTCTTCTCCATTGAGGGCAATGTCGAGCTTAAGTGTGGGGGGGGGGGTGTTTATCTTTTGACTGCATTATATCTGTTTGTGTGCTTGGAGCCTAGTCCACTGTCCAAATTTTTAAATTTGAGGGCTCCAAGTACGTGTTTTCATGCAATTGCCTGCTCAGTATGCTTTGAATTGACAGTCTTTATAGTAATATGCAACCTAGGGAGGTAGTGTAACACTATGGAGGATGTTGATGCATTTAAGAAGTCTCATTTCTTCTTCATATTGAGTTGGTTGATTGAGTGAATTAGTGATCTTAGGACCCTTGAATTGTGTGGTGTTGTGGATTCTCTGCCTGTCATGGACTCTTGTATCATGTTTTGAGTTTAACAGGTGCTCGAAAATGTGCTTGAAAATAAACGTCTCCCGTGCGAATAGGGCGAAAGTGTGTAAGGGGAGACGGGAATTCGTTCCCAATTTCCACCTACTACCTCCAGCCCCCTTACATGTCTTTCCCCCGCACGAGGCTCGAGACATCCGCTCCTGGCATGGCCGGTAAGAGCAGGTTGGGACCCTTGAAAAGAAAAAAAAAAGAAAAGAAAAATAACAGAAAACAAGCAAAACAGAAAAAAAAGGGTTCCAACCATCTTCAAAGAAAATCGAGCACCTTGAAAAATGTGAGTCCATGATCCTTTGTTTTTGAGAATCTCTCCATCCACGATTCATTTGTCCTCTGTTCACTTTTTGCCATGATGCCGACTCGATAAGAAGCTTTGAGATGACTTGTGCGTCGGTTGACCTCGTAAGCTGCTAAATGACCTAGGAAGTCCTCTACTTACGATCTGGGTTGTTTGTTGCTATGGAGGTCTGGAGAGTTGCATTGGTTTGAGTTAGGTTTGCTTGGGGACAAGCAAACGGTTAAGTGTGGGGGAATTTGATAACGATATAAATGCACATGTTTGCGCCCCTAGTTCTTATCCGTTTGAGGGGCATAGTCGTGTGTTGTGGCCTATTTTACGCCGGGTTGTGCTATTTTGTCATGTTTCAGGTCCCAGGTGTCAAAGGGAAGGCTAAGCGCGAGTTTCGGGGCATTCGGAAGTCATTTCAGTGAGCTGGAGCCAAAACACGGGCAGCCTAAGGCATTACACGGCCGTGTACTGCTGGCCGTGCTTTTTATGCCGAGAGCAAATTCAGTTTGGCCAATTCAGCTGCAAACACGGGCACCTAAGCACGGCCGTGTTCCACCAAAGCACGGCCGTGTCCAACGCGAAGCACGGCCGTGTTTAACCCACTTGCTGGCCATGTAATTAAGCCCTGGCCGAGGCACGGGCGGAGTCAGGCAAAGCACGGCCGTGCCCTCGACCGTGCTTTGGCCACTGATGCTTTTAAGCAGAGTTTCAGCCACAATTCAAGGGGATTCGAGTTTTTGAGAGAGAGATCAGTTCCTAGAGAGAGAAAGTGACGAGCAAAAGTTCCCAAGTGCCCTAGATTGATCTTTAACACCATTGGAGGCCAGCTTGAGCTTGGATAAGTGCCGATCAACGTCCAGAAGCAGGAATCCATCCTTCGCAGTATGAATTCCGTGTC